ACGTGCGTGATGATAAAGATTTCGCAGGTATCATTACGTACTATACTCAAATTAAACAAAATACAGTAGAATCTCAGATAACAAGGGAGCTATAAGGCAACAATATTAAAAGTAAGAGTACTAAAGTAGTAAACATTGTTACGGATAAAACAAGGTTGACATAGAACGCGGCGCGCACGCACCTGGGTGCAGCGAGTGGGCGGGCCTATCTCCACGCACACTTTGGAAACAGAACTAACGAATAATGAGACATGCCACGATAAAAGACGAGATACAGTTGAGTAACACTTTGTTTACAAGGTTTTGAGGGAAAGGTTTCTTTTATAGTCGTCAATTGTTTATTTAGCCTATTACATAAGTAATTTCATTGCTAAAGGGTTAATTAAAGGTACAATGGCGGAGCTAGGATTTCATACATTGGCAATTTTTATTGGTTTCTAAAAAAAGTGATTACCTTATTAATAATGCATATAAGCACTTAATTTTTGATTTACTTAGATTTGGGTTTTCGGGATTTTCCAAACGATAATCATTATTGTTATGATCGCTGATTGACATCTGTTTACATTACACTTAAAAACGTTGCATAAATGACAAGTTTTAATGGTGAACCGTATAATTAGCAAGAATTAAAACCTAAAATCAGAGAATCTTTCAAGGTTGTGATAAAATTAAAAATCATTCACATTTAATTAAGTGCGTATAAAATGTGAAGTGTCTATGATTTGGTGTGTCTACGTGCTTATTGGGATTGTCCCTAGAAACCGGTCCATTTAAAATGATATTATTGACGTGGGTTACACTGCGTGTACACTGCTGTAGGTGCCAAAGACTCTTGCGTCAAAATTCTTCGGTTCACTTTGATTGAGGCTTATAAAACTTAAAAGGAGATTGTGAGAATTGTTAATCGGTGATTGCGGTGTAAATATGGCATTGAGTACGTCTTAACATTGTGATTGTTTACCTAAAACTTTTGCGGTTTTCATCTGAAATCTCACTGCAAAATGCATTCGAAAATTACTAGTTTTGGTTCTGGGACAGCTCAGACTTTTACTTCAATGTGAATAGGGTCATCCAGCTACACCTTAGATATACATATCTTGCGCTGTCGGTAGAAATGCATTTAATGCATTAGCTATGTCTTCCTTCCAGCCCAATCCGTATTCTCGTAAAACTATGTTTTCGTAGTCATATCACGTATGCGCTTATATCGGAGACAGGTTTAAATTAATTAACGTTCGTTACGATCAGAATTGGAGACACGCTAACCGATATTTAGTGTCTTTATAGATAAGGCTAACGATGGAAGATTTGGATTGAAAATTTGATGATTTTAATATTTCAAGTCAAATTATCCTTATTTCGCCTTTGTTTTGTTTTACCGCTTTGCTTTTTGTTGTTGGTTAATTTTCTTCTGCTGATGTGGAGACTAAAATTGTAATTTATGAACTTTTACATTGTACTTTCCAACGCCAAGCCAAGCCTTAATTACACTTTTCACAATCCTTTCATGTTTATGTTTGTATGGATCGTGGGTCGCAGGTCTACTCTATGAACTGGAAAGTGGTTCTCGAATGTAGCTCAAAGCAGGCGCAGCGATAACGCTCGCTTAGAAAGTTCCATTTCTCCGTCCATTACGTTAATGTAAATTTATTCCAAACAACAGATATCATGTCGTAGTTCATATTCAAGACCGCTTATGTTTTTTAGTGACAGGTTTCTGGCGGTAAATGGCAATGCATAGTGTGTTTGAACATTTTAGTAATTTTGATGAAGTTTCTAACGCATTTGATGAAAATTCTGACAAAAATATTTAAATGAAAAGGTATGTGTATTAAGTATATTGTGAATGATAGACACAACACAAAATATACTTTATATTGCAAATAATTGTGACTAGTGATTGCAAATGAAAAGGGGTAGTGTTTATCTACCCCATAAGGGGAAATAAGCTCGATAGTGTGTTCCATGTTATGTACACGTCGAAAGATGGAATAAAATTTGTAATAAAAATCTGTTTCCCATGAAGTAGGTAGTAGAGTATACAATAATTTGACTTACTCGTTTCACAAGAAGTGTAAATGCAAATCATTAAACATGGAGCTGAGGTTCTTACACCTAATACATTGAACGGAAATAAAAACAAACGTCGCTGTAGTAAATTCCAGAGAACCAATAGTACTATGTGTCGGGTTACCATTGTATGGTAAAGAAATAGCCGCAGGTTAATAGACGGGAAGTGAAAACAATGTGCTACCAACACCACGGGCTATGCGAAGGATGTGGTTTTTGGGAAGCGTACAAAAGACTTAGAAAGAAAAAGCAATTCCATTGAATGAAATTCAAAATGATATTTGAAATATCTATGTCAAAAGTTATAAAATACATATATTGTAGAAAAAAATTACCCAAAAAGAAAAATTGGATCTGTTTTCTATTATAGCACACTACAAAAAGTTTCATTTATTTCATTTTTCTACAAAAACTAAAGAGATGAAAATCACACGGTCCCACAAAATGTTTTTGAACTCGTGCCAATATTGAGCTAACAACGACTAGGAAAAAATAGTTTTGTCAACGTTATATAAGCAAAGCGCTACACTACGTCATATTTAGTCTTAAAAATTTGGAGTTCCAAGAAGCTGAACACAATTTGAACAGCTCACGACAATACGTGTCTATTTAAAAAGAACATTTTAAATGCAATTCATACTTACATACATACTTAAGTACGTGGCTTATGGCTTATCAAATGTCATTGACCTCCAGCTCACAGGAATTACGCGAAAGGTATGCCAAGGTGATAATTCTTTACTTAATGTCGAAGGGAACGCTTTTAGGACGCTCGAACCAGGATTCGAGAAGACTTTGAAGAGATTAACCAGTTAAACCGGGATTGTTTTTTGTCGTCGGATACAGAAACACTTAAATCGTTGCCATGCCTTTTGAGATAGTAAACGTGGAAATGTTCATGGAAGTCTGAGCATTCGTACCTACTATAATACCTCTACCTTGTTTTACAAAAGAATGCATATATGTAAACATAATTATGAATCATTTATACTGATAATAGTGGCTTGCCTTCGCTTAACTGCACTCTTTGTTTGCTGTCGGTTATTCATGGTTTAACGTTGAAGCTAAGTCATTGGAAATATCATAAACAGAGAGTTATGAGCTCCACGTAAATCATTAACCAGTTCCACCTAGTCGTCCTCACTTTCACGCCTGATTTCTAGTGTGAACAGGCGGATCTGACTTTTGACAAAGTATGCTTCGCAGTTCACTAAGAAATGTATAAAGTTTCCCACATGCATGCTAAGATTTGTGACTGTGACATCAATGTAAGTAAGTTAAATAAATGAAGGTGGAATATTTATGAGTTCTTTTAGAAAGCTATTATTTAGTATTACTTTTGGATTATTTCGAAAGAAGTTTGTAAAAAGATGAATTTGAGATGGGTGTGCTAGTAACCTCTATACAGAAGACTAATTCCAGGCGGTTGAAATATGACTGGTCAGGTGACTTTTCCACGCAGACGTATTCAAGTTGGTTGGCCGCGACATTGACCCGCCACACACGATCGGTCCATGCTGTAGTGTCGCAGCCTCTTTGTTTATATCCTGCAATGCCTACTGTATCAACAGCCTCTTAGTGAACTTCGTATTACCTCTTACAGTGTGTTTGGATCCCTGGTTTTTTTAGCGTAACTTCATAATTACATTTGGATAGTGGGAGATATTCTATTGTGTTTATAAATAAGAAAAATTAAACAATATGTATTTTCGTTTTGTAATCATTGATAAATCTTAGTAAAAATCTGACGAAACGAAAATTTGACTTTGAAGTAAAAAAGGATAAAAAGATTTGCTTGAGGCTTGTAAGATCTACACAAATAATTTTATAAGTATCTACGAAAATAGTTCGTAAGACCAGCTCCTTATTATAACATCAGTAAGATAAATACATAAGAAATATTATTATTCTCATAGGAAGAATGGGTTTTGTATTTAATATGGGAAATGTACTCAAAGACGATTGTTAAGCTGTAAATGAATAAATTAAATAGTGTGCACGGCGAATGGAGAGGTGCTCTCGTAACTTGTTAATGACATTCCGCTCGAGTTGCGCTCACAGGGTGCGTCAGAGTATTCGTCACGGAAGTGCAGGTCCCCCACGTAAGTAGCAACATTCAAGATGCTTTTTACGTAGACAGAACCCGATTTCCTGAAATACGGGATTCATGGTGACGTAAAGTCGGACGCCCGCGCTTTCAGCGGCGCCTGCGCTGGACCCATTTTAGGACATGACTAACGGAAATTCGACTCCTATCTCTCTTGCCTGCTCGCTCCCGTGGGATGCGGCGTGCGTTCGTCTCGCTCGCACTAAAAGCTCCAAGAAATCTTTTAATAGTGTCCACGGCCGCGATCCACTTTCAACTAGCGGCGGGAAATGTGCAAGATTAATCAAGATTTTTAAAAATTTGCGCGGTTTGCCAGATTTTCGAATTATTTAAGTTCGTATATGCGTTACTGAATGACCTTATCCGTATTGATTCTTGACTACCAGGTAAAATATGACATAATTATATAAACCATAACTTTTTATCTCGAATTGTATTGTTTTCTTTATATCTGAAAAATCCAGGATAGTACCAAATGCATTCGGTAATTTATTTATCGGGATGATGTTGTGAACCTAAAAATAGATTCATAATCTGTTGAATTTATATCTGCACCGGCAATTTATAGACCCGGCGGTGATCAGATGTAGTACGGGCATAGTAAAGATGCATAATAATTTTCTATACCTTTTGCGTTATATATAGGTAGATAAAATATTGAATTCAATATATACACAAACATGATTCACCGTTTCATGACAAGATAAGGTTCCGATGATACTTCACAACGTGTTCGATTATTTTCACACGTAAGTTGTGTTTGTAGTTTGCTACCCGTTTGTGTCCTGTCTGTTAACGTAGGTGAGTAGGTAGGACTGACCTTTTTCTGTTGCTTCTCCCAAGCCGGGTCTAGGAGACCCTCACGCTCCCACTCCTCCTCCTGTTCCATGTACCCGTCAGGGTAGCCATCATAGTTATTTGTTATCACCCCGTTGTCCATCATCATGGTCACCGCACTGACCGTCGATTCGATGTTCGTTCGAGCCTATGACCGCGAACTCGCGTGTTGTTCGCTCCGCGCACTGACAAGCAGCCGGCCCCGCGCCCGCTGCGAGAAGACTGGCGCACCAGCGCTTGCAGCGGTAGCGTGAGGAACTTCAATACAACGTTCCATTTCACTCGTCTACTTGCCAATGAGCTAAGCGCATTAATGTAGCAACATCCTTCGGAAAAAAAGCCATCGAATACCATACGATAAAATTAAATTACATGTTCGTTCTCTGTTTCTGTACTAATCCTGTATTTTTTATGTGCTAAGTAATATCAAGCACTCACTTAATACTTTTCGATATTACAAATTACTACCCTGTGTAAACAATGTAAAGTTCTGACTTCAATATGAAATGACAGTACAAAGTTCCGACATAACCCCTGAGTCTTAATGGGCTCAGGGGTATCTATAAAAATTCCCCCCCGTCAAAAAAAAGGTTTCAATACCTGGGTGGTATACGTTAGAGTATGCAAATAGCTTTGTGATCTTTGTGAAATGCAATAAATTATTAGGAATGTAAATATTATGCACACTATATGCTTTTTATAATGAGCGACCACCTTATTATTTTTCTTATGTGGATGTAAATTTAAAAATATCCCTTCGACATTGAATTTTCAAATACTGCTTGAAATTCAATAATTTCATTCATTTCGGAATTTATTTTCGCGCCCTGTTCAACATTCCATTTCATAATACTTTTTTATAGGGTTTGAATTTAAACTACTGTTTATTTTGGGAAATGACTGTGATTCTTGAATTTAAAATTCTAGTTAAAATAAAACGATAAAATAATACACAAAAAAATTTATTTACCACATAATTTCATTGAACAATAATAATCTTGCTCATGCAAAATAACACTTCATAATAATTATGATTTATTTATATTCTTTGAAGATCCCACATAGTATTAACATACATATTAGCAACATCCACGATCACAGGAAGGTTAACATTTTGGAATAGAAAACTTATTTATTCATCGAAAAGTTTGGTGTTTCTATAAATTAAACCTAATTTAAATACACACACGGATGAGTATTACATATATTGGCAGAGAGGACAACTACACGGAGTACAATACATATTATAGGTGATCGGGATACGATGTCAATCCTTAAGGGGAAGGGAACCAAGAAGATTTATATTACCTGGTTTACCTTACCTATCAAAACCCACCGTTTTCAAGATATTGCTGGTTTCTAGAAGAAATATTTGCCTATATTTGTTGTTTGTTTTGGTTTTATTGCACGTTAATCGCAGAACGAAGAATGACTTGCCTATTAAGCACAATGTACAAGTTGGTCGGAGAAGAGATGTCTGAATCGATGCATAAGAGCTTTAGGCTGCTAATAGATTGACTGCATGTTTGCAGTTAATGCGTAATCAAAGTCGTAATCAACGTCATGCAGCAGAGATTTCGACTGCATAAAGTTGATAACGAGTTCACGCAATAACTGCATGCAGTCGATCTTGGCTGCATGAAGACGGTTTCGACTGCATGCAGTTAATCCGTGAAGTCGTTATCCGAGACCTCGAAACGCAATCAATCTGTTAAGCAGCCCTAGGCTCAACTGACACTGCACTGGCGCAGAGTCGAAGCGTCGCGTCGCGTCTTGTTTTTCAACTACAACGCTTGGCGACGCGCGACGACACTCGCATTAGTGCGCCCGGATCGCAGTGTGGTCGGCGTCTGACGCCTCATTGCGCCCAAGAGCGCGAAGCCGCTCGGCTGCATCCAAGCGTCGGCGCCCGTTTCCATATTTGCATAACACAAATTTGTACCTTAACAATGGGAAAATAGAGATGAATTACTATAGGCGAAAAACCTGTCGCGTCGCGACGCTTCGACTCTGCGCCAGTGTGAGTTAAGTCTTAGTCTTTACTTTTGAAGATTTTTATTCCTGTAGAACATTTCTACAAGTGAGATCGATGGAGTTAGTACCTATGTGACTAACAAATCATAGCCATGAACATTTATTTATCATAAAATCAAGGTAGCATCCGATCAGACAACAAGTGATCTGCGAGTAGAGCTACCATCCGGTCCGATTTGTCCGAATATGCACGGTTTTTGGCCTTCAGTCTGGACTTTTTTTGGAAAAAATCGGGGCTATGAGTGTGTGTGTGCGTTATTATTTGTAATTTTGCGGATTTTTCAGCTTAGGATAAGAATTTTCAGAAAAAAGTGAAATATCTACATCGCAATCAAGTACTAAAACTCCATTTACGACAAAAACTGTCTTTTTTAGTATATATCTTACGCTATTATCTCTGTGTGAGTGATAAAATCTAAATTTTATTTTGTTACTAAAAAGTCCGGACTGTCTTGTAAATCTCAGACATTTCGAATTCAAATTTTGGCATGGTAACCCTACATGCAAGTGAATATTACTAGCACATAATTCCCACAGAGAGCTCAAGCTTGATAATAAACAAATAAAAAACGCACACACTCATAGCCCCGCACCCCGCACTATGGAAACCCTGTGTCACATAGACAACCACAAATTGCCCGGGAATCGAACCCGGGACCTCTGCGTGGCTGACCAGCATGGTAATCGTTCAGCCACAGAGGCAATTTGTATATACCTGTACTTGGACTTAATACTTGGTGTACCGGGCTGTTGTCCGTAACTCGACGTCAAGGCGCCAATTTTGTGTGTAAGAACAAACAGCGGATCACAATTTGAACATTAGAACAAAACGAAACGAAGCAAAAATTGGGACTGTTGTGTATGTGCAAATAAAGAGTTGGTAGTCCATGTCCGATGTATTTTGAGTAGACTAGAAGTAGTGGTCATAAACCACACGAATGTCTGCAACGACAGTAATTATTTCAATAAACATTTGACATTCGCATAGTTACTGAAGAAAGAAGAAGAAGAGTGACAAAAGGGGCGCTCTAAAATGATAGTAAGGGCACGTTAGACGCTTGTAGTTGCAGTAACCTTTAGATCAATAAATAAGACTGCAAAGTGGCGCTCGCGTGTGACGACAGTAACGCTGCAACTGTGTTTCAGTACTTGGAATTGTATGAAAATTAGGAGTGGCGCGGCAGCAGCGCTTCGAAAAGCGTCTAATTTGAAGACGACCTAAACGTCCACGTTGTATCGATGTGTATATTTGATATAAAAGTTATTTTTTAATATGCGTTACACGTATAGGTATCTCATTTATATATTTTTTTTTAATTTCAAAATTTATTAACAACCTCTGTGGTCGAGTGGTTGAGTTGCACACTGGTTTGTCATGGTGTCGCCATCTCCGACGTCCTGAGTTCGATCTCCGGCCGGGTCAATGTAGAAAACTAACTTTTTTTATATTGTCTCGGGACAGGATGTTCGTGGTATCATCGCTGTTTCTGATTTCTGTAAAACAAGTGCTATTATTACTTACTTTGGGATCAGAGCAACGCATGTGATGTCCAATATTTATTTAATATTTATATTTAAAACCGAAAATAAACCAATTGGAGCAATTTAGTCTGTATTATTCAACTGTGAAGGAACGTGACATCTCATTTTAGAAAATAGCGACAAGAATATCTTGAACAAAGTAGCATCCGTTACTAGTGTACATATGTTAATACATTAGTATTCCTATTAAACTCCTTAAGGGATTGGCATCGGTCACTGATTATAATATCATAATTTTGCTACTGAAATTCGACTTTTGTAATACATTTCACTTTAAGCATTAACATAAGTTGTTACAACACTAATACATATAATATATTTTCCTTATACTGTAAACATCAACAGCGTACATATTTAAGCTTTGAGCAAATTTTACAATGAACTAAAACTTTTATAAATCATCCTTAACAATACGTGATCAATTATTTTTGTAATTCTTTTATATGTATAAAATTTTTTACCGACAATTCAACGGGATTTTTTTAATGATATTTCCCAGAATTTTGAAATTTTCCAAATTTCAGGGCATACAATACATATACATATTTATATGTATACTAACATTTTTAAAAAAGAAATAAGAATCCTTTATATATTAATACTTTTTCCAGATAAACACATAGAAAATGCTCTATTGATTATAGACTTATTTAGTAAATATCAACATATTTTAAACTGTTTGAAAATGATTAAAAAATATAGTTTAATGGACAGACGACATAATATAAAACATAATATAAGGTGAAATTAGAATATAAATTGTATATTCTTACATAAATGTTAAAGTCACATGCGAGACTATACTAAAAACTAAATTAAGTAGGAAATAATTAGTAATAAGAACTTAGCGTAGAGATACAAGATTATAAAACCTTAACAATATTGGTTCAGAAGATTTAATTCATGTCAATAAATAACATGAAATATACACATTTTCTCGAAGTTAACAAATGTATGTAAGTGTTGTCTTTAAAATATGTATATGTGTTACTCAACAATTCTGCGCATAGTAAGGGAGATGCCACACGGGCGTTGCGTCGGCGTTGCGACGTCGCAACTGCGTTGTACCACATATAAATCAGAACATGCCACACAGTGCGTTGAAACAGCGCGCGTCGACATTCTGATTTATATGTGGTACAACGCAGTTGCGACGACGCAGCACCGACGCAGCGCCCGTGTGTCATCTTCCTTATTTGTAATGGAAAATTGTCATGCTTATAACAAGCTAGACGGAATGTCTATCCTCTATTGAAGCGCAACAGTCTTCCTTATTTTTATTTTTTCACATTTGCGCGCGCATATTTTTACAGTTGAATAATTTTCTTCTTCTTTGTTTTCGTGCTATAATAGTTTCAAATTTCATACGTACCGGTTTAGGAATGGCCGAGTCATCGGTTCTTAGCAAGTGCAATTTGAGTGGATGTTAAGAAAGCTTCGTTTGTTTAGCTGGCTACGCTTTCTTCGTTTGCTTTTCTCGCTCGCTTCGTTTCGATAACCCGTTTATTAATTTATATTTTATTTGTAAGTCAATGTTTATATTGGAAAATTTTATGCGGATGAGGGAAATAGTTATATAGACACTTTGTTGCCAAATTGTGTCTATATGCTATTGACTATTGATACTCCATGGATCAAGAGTATAATATAACCTATTGTACATCTTCACACAAAGGTTATATTTTCCAATAAACTTGCATTAACGGATGCTTTCCTAGACTTCTTTCTTCATGTTTTACGTTTTCCTAGACTATAGATAGACAAAAATTTTAAAGAAACTAGTCGGGTATAACAAATATTAATCATATTATTAGGTAATTACACCTGCTAACTTTTTTTACAATTTAAGTTATAAGACATGTGGTATAGACTATGTAGTCTGTTTGGCCCAGTTCGTAAGTTTTATTTATTTCATTCACTTTCATCGAATCTAAGAAATATAATCTTTTTCTATAGTTTTTATCTTCACAAGAGTATTATGTGTTTTCATGTTTTACATAAAATTCAGCGCAAATATATGAGTATGCAAATTTAACAAAGTGTCTTACAATTTTTGTGCTTGTTTGTATATGTCATTGTGCTTATACACTTACAATTAAATTAATTTAAGTACATAGTTTTCAAGAAATTATTAGGTATAGTATACAAGGAATTTTTTGAAGAAATCGCTAACGTCGAAATTAGTTTCAGAACATCACAAACATACGCTATGTTAACACTATACAAGTACTGATAGTAATTAATTCTTACTTTTTATATATCTACTTCTTATCATGATAACATTTTTAGTAATTCATCATTTAAGTAGTTTCAGGTTTGTTTAGTTGTTTAAATGTATCAATTTCCTTTTATATGAACAATATTTATATTGGGAATTGGAAAACGCAGAAGTGTAGTCTTTAAGTAGCTTGTTTTCATATGTTTTAAATGAACATTTGTCACAAGAAGATCACAGTATTTGGATAATTTTGTTATTACATAGAACACGACATAAGTATAGCTAAGGATACATTTATTTTATTTGCTCGAATAATTACATTTATTCCATTTTATTTTGGTACCAAAAATAGAGATGATTATGTTGAACACGTCTAGCTAGATGTAAAAAATATAAAGTATCAATGAACAACAACAAGGGTTAGGTATCCGAGAAGTGTACAAATGTTTCCCGTACCTCTACTCAAGTACATTTATAACAATAATACTTTAAGAAGGCTTTAACATACCACAATATTAAGAAGGACCCAATCCATACACTCTTCATAATCTATCTAATACACTGATAATCCTCACAGCTCCATTTATATACCGTAGTCAAAACTTTCAAATTCCGAGAACCTGGAGTCTTGTTTCTGGAGTCGCTGTTGACAGGCCTCAATATAGCTGTCTTGGATTCTGTACATCCCCGAGTTCGCCTGATACATGAGCGTCTCGAGAATACGCTCGTTTTTGATAGCTTTCGAAGGAAGCACGACTTTGATTAATTCCTGTGGTGAGATTCTATAAAGTTTAAGGTCCCTTGCTAACCTTTCCATTATGCATTTAAATTCATTTTTGGCATCAGTCTTATTGGCGGACTTCGCTTTGATTTTGTTCTTGGCCCAGCTGAGCATAGCTTCAAATTTTCTGACCTCTGGCACTTCGAGGTTCCTGCACATGATCATCTGGACCATGGATTCGGAAAGATTGAGGAATTCCGGCGTCTGAAAGAGTGCGTATGCTCGCTGTTCGATGAAAGCCAGGATCATATTTACCAATTCCGAAGCTGACGTATATCGCCAGTAATAGTTCTCTAATGATATAAGCATTGTGCAAACCTGTAAGAATAGAAATATAGCTCTGGTTGAACAATTAACAAAAGGTATGACTGTTGTAATATGAAACTCCACTCTGAACAAATGTAATGTTCTAATTAGGGTTTTTCATACTTATAGACTCGGTATTTAGGCAGTTAAAACATGACATTTTAATAAAGTTCTTTATTAATTGTAATTATAAAATGAAAAATGATCTCCAAAAGTTATTTTTTCATTTGTATAGTGGTTACGCAAGAAACAAAGGAATTAATAATTTTAATACAGTTTCAGATGGAGTTACTACCGTTCTTCAATATTCACAGACTATCCTAAGCCCCACTTTACAATGTTGCCATGTCCTTACAACCAGAATAAAAAAAATACAACAATTGGTTTAGAACATTTTTAACACTTTTTAATTAAGTAATTTAAGTGTTCAAAGTGTCGATATTTCCGATACCAAAAATTTTAGTCTCGAGTCTCGAATTTTTTCTAGTTTTAATATAATACATTCACCATTACCCCTTATGAGAGATAAGACTTAATATAAGATATAAGTATGAAGTGACTTACAACTTCTATCCTAAGAAACTGTTTGGCGTGATGGAAGCACGCCTGCAATAGCTCCGGTAGATCATAATGTTCAGCAGCACAAATAAGACCTGGGATGGAGGCACAGGTCAAGGGACAACTCCCTGTGTGAAGATAATCCAGAAGAATCCGAAATGTTTCTGGGTCGAATTCTATTATGGAAAACTAGAAAACGAAACGATATGAATTGTTTAGTACACAAGCAATGTCACATATGATAAGAAAATGAAACACAAAAGGCGTTCCGGAACGTCTTTGTAATGTAAGTAAATCTCATCAGCGAATGTGCATTGCTAGAATAATGAACAAATTACCGGGTTCTTAGGTTTCGCGATTGTTACACATAGGAAATGAAACTATTTTTCCGGATTTAAATCGCGTATATTTGTTTTTTCAAACAAACCGACGTTTCGGGCCCTTTACAGGCCCCAGGGTCACGGTTGACTGAGGTGGTACAGTCTTCAACCAGTTATGTCTAATATTGATGCAAACCACCCTATTTTTTCACTATAGTTACAATAGTTATTAATTAAATACCTTATTTTTAATTTTACAAAGAAAACATTCCAATTTACGCTACTTAAGTTTTACAAATTATTTTTTGTTTGAAACGTCGCTTTGTTTGAAAAAACAAATATACGCGATTTAAATCCGGAAAAATAGTTTCATTTCCTAAATGAACAAATTAGTTTTACTATTGTTTATGATGTTTACCTCAGTCTGAGCAAGTTTGGCACGGTCGACCTTTTGCGCGTCAGCGCATACCGATAATCTTGGTACTGCTAATGCTGTGTTTTTGTCTTTATCTTTGTCTTTGCCCTCTTTATCTGAAATTGAAATAATTTGATGCATTTTAACAAAATTTTGGACTAGTGATATCTCCGACCTTTTTTTTTTTACTTCGACGAAGGGTAACATGTACTTACTAGAGCAGTCTTGCGAACTGGCCCATTTCTTTTTATCGTCTGCATTCAGCTGAGAGTGTTGTTTGCGAATAGAGCGACCCCAGCCAGCCGTGATTGTTCCGAGACGTGAAAATGCTCTTTTTACCATTGGTGAACTTGGGACGCTTTTCGGCCTGTAAATTATTTGTCATCGTTTTTGATAAATAGAAAGCAAAATGACAATTTGTCTTGAATTAATTTGACTAATTATTCTTAAAATGTACCCACGACATAGATATATTATCGTGGCGTAATATTGATAAATTTATATCTATGATGTGTATGGTATTTAAATATAATATATTTAATTTCACACTATTCTAAATTTATTTATACCTCAAAGTCATTTGAAAAAGTTACATTACCTTGGTGATTCAATATCAGGCACTTGTAGGAAATTGCTGCTCTTTTGTCGCGCAGGAGTCGGCGACAGTAGAGTCGGTGCCGGCCGCGCTAAAAGTTCTGCCACTGGCACTTGTGGAGAGCCGAAACCAGTTTGGATGCCGTACAGCATTTCTTGAAATACTCTGTCAGTAAATTAAAAAACAATCGTGAATACCATGGACCAATGGCTCAAGAGGACTGCTAATCTCGATACTACAGATAGTAAGTTTGAAATAGGTCAAAATTCCGTCTTAGATCTAGATGGCGCTGGTCAATAGTCTGGAAGTAGTTTGTTTTATGTAAATGGCCAGATATCAATAATTAATTCCTCTTTAACATGAAATATAAGAGTCAGTTTTTTTCCTTGTAATATTATTCAAATATTGATCATGAGCTAAAAAAATTTTCTGAACGTTGACAAATATGCTAAGTAAATAGATGGTATTGTGTGTTACACACTAATTTATAAATTATCGCTTCCTAATACAGGCAGATGGCGCTAATCCTAAATACAATAAATGAATTGCAGACTCTGTTCCAGTAATTTTCAGGTAAGTTTGGTGACAATTTTTATTATTTAACTACTC